AAGGCATTTTTCCCGGTGTTTTTCTGTCAATTACTTGTATTTTTCCCCCTTATGAACAACAACTTTTGGCACCTGATAAAAACTACTCGTGTTTTGATCGATTTGAGCAACCATAAACGACGCAAAACATGGGCATTTTGAGTTTGTTATAGTGCTTCCTAAATATAGAAAGTCACTTCCTGCCCTCCATCTGCATTTCGCGCCATGGCAACGCAGTGGTGTGACGTCATATGTAAACAAGCTATATCAAATCAAATCACGTACAAATGAATGCGTTCTCGCCACCTACTGGCGAACGTGTAAGCACATGTTAAGATTACACGATTGACATTAGTGCATCCAATCGCACAACAACTATCTGGCATGTCGTTTACACCCCAAAACACCATTTTTTTTTTGTATATTAAAACTGGCGATGTCCAGGCAAGATCCTTGAATAGTTTACTGGGTTTCGTTGCTAGAGAACGACGTTCTTGCCCTCCAGCCAATACTTGTGACGTCACATGCAAAGTATGAATAGAGAGAGGTTGAATTGTCTGTGCAGCTACTACTAAAACAAACTACAATAGAGCTGCATGGTTAAACGTTAAAAGATTGCAATCTCTTGAGTATTTGTCATGTATGTGTAACGGCTTCACAAACAGTCTTTTCAACCATACAGTATTCTTATTTCTGTTACAAATATTCAAATTATCACATAAGTACTGAGATAAAGGTTTATAGTTCAGATATAAGCACTGATGTGTACGGATTACGAAAGTGATCAAAATAGAGCAGATCACCTTTTGAGAGTAAATTGGCGCTTTACTAAGTGAAGTTATGACATAGTCCCAAAAGACAGTACTTTTAAAAATGTATTTGTCAATTTATTAATTCAATCAAAAGTTTTGTTTATTAATTTATTTGTTTATTCATTTATTGAAAAACGCTTATTCATACAGTAATGAAACAAGTGAAGTCTTCATGAGCGAGTCAATGAATCATTGTATGACAAACATGCAAATTTTATTTAGTTGAATTTTCTTGTCATCTATTTTTTACAAAAACACTTAAAAATTTTAATTAAAAAAATTAAGGATGTTTGATAAATCGGTGTCTCAATGGTAACTGACTGTTTTTCATTTGTATTTTTAATTGGTATCGGTCGATACTGGATACATATTGGTCTATATTAGATATTCAGTTGTTAACATTTCTCACTTACCCTTATTTTACATTTAGAGCATCATCTAACATTTAAAAAAAATCTTAAATTTGTTGAATGTAATCTTGAGCAAATATTAAATTATATTATATCTGTTCATATAGTTTTAATGTTCCATTATATACTGTATATAATGTAATAAATTCACTTTATTTATTTTTCATTTGTTTAGACTAAATATTATAGAATTCAAGCATATAAATGAAAATAAGTACCAAACTTATATGCTTTAGCCAGTGAATCCCTTATACAAATTATAAAACTTACCATATCAGTTCAACCTAGCGATACATTTTATTGGAATAGTTTAAGCCGAGAAAAAGTACCATTGTTCATGTTATTGCCCCAATTCAGATTTTCCTTTCATCTCTCTCACTGTCTCTCGGTATCTTATTTCTCCAGGGATTTAGCTGTATTATCTCAAATAAACCTTTGACTTCATTTATAAGGGAGCTCACAGCAGTCTATTCCTATTCTCAATCTATCATCAGTGTGTGTGTGTGTGTGTGTGTGTGTCTGCACTGATCATTTTAAATGTCCTTCTCATGTGGATACACGGTTTCAAAGCCTTAAAGGGGCGTACCAAGTTATCTCATGTTCAGGTCCCAATTACATTTTACCAATTACAGCAAAGATTGGTGGTATGAGAAGAACAAAGCATCACTGCATTATCTTCTGGAAGCTCCAGACAGGGATTTGTAGTAATAAGTGAGTGAAAACAACCCTTCTTATATGTCATAAATAATTTCTAAAAGAGTTTGTTAACACCCCAAAAATCAATCTTTAAAACGATTCCTTTTTGTTTTGTGAGGAACGCTTGTGGTATCAGAGGGGATGCATTTCATTTCAGCTTGACCCGAAACAGTTGCAGAATTGTCTTAGAAGTCTCTGAAGAGTTACTCTCTCATGAGTTGCGCTGTTGTACTGCTATGAAGCTCTGCTGTACATGGGTGGAAATCAGAGAACAGACATTCCTTCTCTTTTCTACCCCCCCTCTCTCTTTCTGTCTATCCGCTTGCTCGGTTTTTAATTGGGCTCACTGTGTGCGTCCCTGAAGCTCTCTGTGCTGTGTTTTGTGTGGGTGAGTCTTGGAGTGAATCATAGTAATTTAGGAATTTGGGCTTGTGTGTGTGATTGTGTGTGTAAAAGAGGTTAAATTTTTAAACAAGTATGTCCTTAAATGACTGTTTAAAAGTGTTTGTGTGTTGACTATGTCTAGAATATATTATGTAGAGCTTATTTCATCCAGACTGTAAACCACGTCCTGTTCAACAAAAGCTAATGGTGGCATTGGAGGTAGTTTAGTATATAACATAACTTTATTCAAGATGGCAATAATAACATTTTTATATTTAGTAATTTAGCAGAGATGGTTATTCAAAGCGAAAAGAAACCCCACAAGCAATTTATTCAACAAGAGCAAACAACACTCAGTGTGAGTTTCTAAGCTACAGTAATTTATTTTTCTTTAATGGAATTCATTTTTAGAAAATGCCTTTGGTTATGGTTGGTAGTTTTAGATTTACCCCTGGTTTTACAGACAGGGCTTAGATTAAGCCAGGAGTAGGCCTAGTTAGCTTTAACATGCCTTAAAATACATTAATGGTGTGCACTCTTGAGACAAAACAATGGCACTGACTTAATAAATGTCAGTTCAAGTTGCTTTCCGTTAAGACAGCTCAAACATGCATTTTAGAATGGGACTAGGTTCACATTCTCATGATAATTTGTGGATCAATCTTTCAATCAAAGCCGTGATTAAACGGATGTTTTTTTTATTTTTGTTTAAAAAAAAAAAAATGAGTGAAGACGATATATTAGGTATTTTGCTTTTGTGTTACTGGTATCAATACTACTTAAGTATTGTCAATCTATAAGAGCTAAATTTGCTGTTATTACATGGGTCTCTGGAATACTGCGGTAAAATATTTTTTTTCTGTTTAATTGACAGTTGTCCCAGGCCACTTAACTGGTATAGCGTATGAATATATATATATATATATATATATATATATATATATATATATATATATATATATTTGTATAAAAACACCAAGGAACTTTTCCTCTGCGGTCACCGTACAAGTTGGAAGTGGAATTGTCCATTACTGCTGTCATAAATAATTTAGCCTATACCCTACCGCGTCCTACTGTTCTGCGCGCTCTCACGTGCTCTCTGTTTATCCAGCACTGGCTTTGGAATCAACATTGGCCACAGACAAGGTAGAGTATATGATGAATGATTTAATGAAAGTGTTGTAGTCTACTGTCGAGTACGCTCCACCTGTCGTACGCGTGCCATAAAGCAAGTCAAATTTGTAGTTTTCTTAGGTCTCATTCGCACTACAGAAACACAATGCGATCTGGCAATTTTATATAGCATGGATATATCAGATAAAGGACCGGAATGCGGTGGCATAAGTTCATTTCACCATGTCACGACTTGAACCACTGAAATGATTTTGAAAACATTATTTTAAGGTAAAATGGGTTGGTATGGTTACTGTCTATTATGCTATGAAGCTGTTGAATGCTTGAATCTGATTGGACGATGAACGTTCAAAGGTGTGGAAATTACTTTAAAACTACTTTAGCGAGCGGCTAAAGTAGTTCACAGCAGGTGTTGACCACATTACAGTTCTATATCACTCCGCCAAACTATTTCAGTTATTTCAAAGGTCCTTACAGACCAAAACCCACAACTATACTGACCCAGCAAATATTGTAAAGAATAGGATAAACGACAAATTATTTCTATGTTTTTAACTACAAAATTATGTTTTTATGTACGGGAAGCACATACTCTTTCTCCCGGAGTACGGTACGGACACACACTCACATGGAAAGATGTAGTCAGTAAAAAAAAAAAAAAAAATTCAGTAAGATAGTAGTTTAACAGCCTAAAAGCTACATGACAGGTAATAATGGTGTTATTCTTGGAGAAGATAAACTTACAGTTTCGATTTTATTAGAGGCGCTGCTGTTGAGACTGAGAGACGTACAGTCCTCAGGTTATTCACTATAATCTCTCTCTCTTTCCGCTTCGCGTCGTGGCCACATTACCACCTCGGGTGTGCATTATTTTTCTAATAATTCAACGGCCTATGTTGTCAATTATTTCTTTACATGCCTTTGTGGAGCAGTATTTATGGATCACCGAGAAATGGGGATGACATACTTGGCAGTGAAAAAAAAATCCATTAAAATTAAACAAACGCAGTAGAGGAAGAGAAGACCTGAGTAAGGATATAATCTGGGGGCTGTCAGGGCTGGATTTTGATGAATCTTTCTTTTGTTCTTGTTTGCATTGCAAGTGGGGGTGGTGATAATTACCTAGAATTCTTTAGTGGTCTCATTTCTTGCTGTTCTTTAACATCTGCCTTCCAACTCTACCTTTCGTTTTATCTTCCCTCTTTTCTTTTTCTTCTGAACGTGCAATTACAGAGACTTCTTGACTCTTTCTCTCTCTATTGTGAGCTTTCTGAGGCGTAGCATGAGTGCAAAGCTTCGTTTCAGCTGAACAGAGGAGGGATGAAATCTGTTTTAAAGAGTTTCAGAAAGTAATTGTCTCTCCCACATTCCCATCATTCTCTCTCTCTTTCTTTCTCCTACTGTACTTTAGGACTGAAATTTCCATGCATTTCTCTTCCTTTCGCAGGAAACTTGGAAGGCGAGGACTCTGTCGAAGACCAAATATACAGAATATACCAGTAATGCAAATACAAATCAGACCTTGTTGCTTATTCATTTCTTTTGTGTTTTCTGCTCTACATAAATCTGTCAAACAACAAAAATCTCTTTTCAAATCCACTGTTTATTGTCATCAAAGTCACAAAGATATTTATGTAGCAAAATTTAAAACTACACTTTTTTCTGTTTAACAAAAATAGACATGTTTCTTTCTAAGGCTTTACATTTGCACAAAAGAAAAACATTTAAACATGTATTTTTTATACAGAAACACCCTTAAAGTGTAATAATACTCCCACTTTCAAATATCACAGTCGCACACATACTCATACGTGCACGCTACAATAAATAAAACGATACAAATTTACTATAGAGTGACATTCAGATATAAATTACTCTGTAGAAATGATTTACTTTTTAAAAATACAAAAATGTTTATGTATATATACACTGACAAAGAACAGCATTGTAAAACTAAAAAGGAAAATTGGGAAAGAAAAACATTTTGTTCTTTTGCACGTATTCTTTTTTTCCTGTATCTTGTGGCCAGTGTTCCCACACAGAATGTTAATTAAATTCACATGACAGAAATTCAGGCACTTGCACAATATTTCCACACATAATTTTCAGAGGCAAGTTTGAAAAAGAGTGTTTATGCTGTCACAATTTAATCTAACATTTTTTTAAGTCCTTTTTGATTTCACACTCAAATATTTAATTTATGTCCTTTGTTTGTACCCTTTGGTTTACACAACATTTCTTTACAATTCTCTGCTGAAATGAGCTTGTTAATTTCAGATAACTTCATATAAAATTCAGTCTATAGAGGTTTCATTTTAAATAAATAATAAAATAAAATAAAGGCACCGTAAGAACAGGTCTGCCAATTGCTTTGCAATCTAAACCCGGAAGATACAATACATGCTACAAAAAAATCAAAGCCACGTGCCATTGAGTTCCACTAAAACATCATCTAGAAAATATTGTTTCTTATTCTGTTTTTGAAAAACTCACAATGTTAGAAGCAATCTTCTGTTTTCTCACAATTGACCATGTTACTTAGTTGAAGTCAAAGCAATCACCTATTCATAAGTCTACACAGCACTTTATCACTAAACCATAAGAGACAAATCAGACCACGATAATTAATAAGTCCAACGGATTCTCTCTGACTGTTGGCTAACTAGCAGCTCTCGTGGATTTCAGCTTTACAGTAGATTGACTTCAAAATGGATCGGAGAATGAAAGAGGAAGAAAGAGAGAAAAAAGAGAGTTTGATTTTTTTTTTTTTTTTTTACTTTTGCTACTTTAACCTCTTTTGCTACAGTAACATCTTGGATTCTTTTTGAGCTGAGAAATGCAGAGCCTGGTATCCCGCTGTCTTTTCCACTTTCATTCTTCTCTCTCCTTCCAGAGTCGAAGCTCTACCTTTGTGATTGTTCATCTCTATAGCAACAGGAGACTTCAGTCTGTAGGTCTAGCTTCGACTTCCCCATCCTTTACGATTTCCTTAGCTCTCCCAATCTTTCCATTTTCCTGCTGATGCCTGGAGTCGTTCGGGGAACTGCGCTTCATGAGTCGATTGATTATGTCACTGCAGGTTTTCCGGTACTGGTGTCGCAGAAGAGAGTAGACGAAAGGGTCGCATGCAGCTTTGCTGTAAGCCAGACTCTTACACAGCACGCCCCAATATGGATTAAATGGCTCTGTCATAAACAGCTCCACGATCCTAAAGACATGACACAGATATGAGGAAGATCCAAATACCTAATAAGTCCAAATACCTAATATTTTACTCTGCAGTTACCACATTTTCGGTCTATTTATATATATACTGTATATAGCATATAGAAGGTTATACATTTGTTTTGAAGAGGTAGTGAATGCAGAATAATTTCTATTTTCAGTGTGGTTATGTGAGGGATAATTTGTGACCTGGAGGTCACTAACGGTTGCGCTTAAAAATTGCTTTTGACAGGGGCTTTGAGGAAGAAAACCTACAGCAAGAGTCAGGGATATACAAGACAGTTCATCCTTTCATCTTCTCTAAGCTCACCGAGGTTATGTAACATGCCAAGACAGGAGGCCCGTCTTCATTCAGTCCAGCGCAGTCTCATCCCAAGACTTCATATACTGTAACTGACGTCTTGGGAAGTCTTTTCACCATACGTCAACATCCGCCTTTTTAGGGTACCCTTAAACGTCAGTTAGATGACGTTATCAGATCCTAACCCTACCTACCCCAGACCTAAACCTACCCCTAAACCTACCCCATCACCTAACTGACATTAAAGGTAAAGCGTCAGTTGTATGACGGCCCCGGATCGTCAACTAACCGACGTTTAAGGGTACCCTAAAAAGGCGGATGTTGACGTATGGTCTATGTTGACCTATCTATCTATCTATCTATCTATCTATCTATCTATCTATCTATCTATCTATCTATCTATCTATCTATCTATCTATCTATCTATCTATCTATATTAGGGGTGTAAAAATTAATGCATTTATGCTTTTGACACATTTTGTTCAGTTTAAAGCATTAAAAATATTTTGTGCAATTAACACAGCATTGTTTTTTCCCCTTATTCTTTTACATTATATGATCGCACTCTTTTGCATGCAAATGCTTTTCAACCGTTCAAGCGCGACAAGACAAGTCTTAAACGAATGAAATGTAGTCTTAAATGATCGTAAAGAGTTGCAATAAAATGGGATCCATGGGATTCTTTAAGTGACGGCAGCCTAATAAACTCGCTGCTGTCTTTCTTTTAGGATAACCAAAGAAAAAAAGAAAATCACTCGTTGCGCTTGACTGAATTACTTTGGTAGTTTTAATAAGCATCAATCTGTATTTCATTTATAAATTATGCAGTGAAGACAGAAGTGTTTGGTAACTATTAAATTGCTGTATATATCCTACCCGTTAGACTTACCTGAAAAATCTTAAAGCACAAGATTACATGGGTCAAAAACTATGAAAACAATAACTTGTGCATTTTTACAAGGCAAGTAAAAATCTCAACTGGTCTGGCTGGGCCAATAGAAAAACTGAGTCCTGATATATTGAAGGACAGGTATATTTGATATTTATTATAATGGGTTTATGTGAAAATTGTTTAAGTTCATTTAAATTAAGTTTTATTTTTAAAGCCTTAATGTTAAAATGTATAGCTTTAAATATGCAATTAATTAGTTTTTTTTTTTTAATCAATTGACAGCACAAAAATATATATTGATATTCGTGTGTTTTAAACACACATTGTTCCTCATATCTACAAGAATTATTGTCATAAAGGTGAAAAATATTAAGGAATGTCCGGTAACAAACTGTACATTTTTATTTATTTATTAATTATTACAAATTCCCCAGTCAACCTTAAACAATACACAGTGTCCTCCAGCTTTTGAGTTAAAATAAAAAATGCAGTTAATTACATTCAAAGAACTTAATCTGGCCAACACATCAAAACTGTAATAATATCATGACTCTCTAAGAGCCCAAGGAGGAAAAGCAGATGGCTCACCTGGTGATGACGTAAGGGGTGAAACAGATGACGAAGGTTCCGATGAAGGTACTAATTTTGCGGGTGGCTCTCTGTTTCCTCCTTTTCTGCTCCTCCAGACAGCGCTGACGAACACTGGACAAAAGATAGACCTCCATTTAGATGATTTCTCTCACTGTATTATGCTTGTTGCATGTGAGATGAGCACATTAGATTGACTTTTATACAGCAGACATTATTTAAAACTGTCTTTATGGACCAGATGAACATACATACTTAACTACTGACAACATAGGAACCTTCTGACAAAATATTAAAGAGACATTACAGAAGTTTCCATGGAGAGATGATTTTTGCCTAAGCTGTTTTCAGCGAATCATTGAAATGTCAGATTGACTGATTCACATGGTCAGTGTTTTACACAGAAGTGCGGTGTGTTTTGTTGATTGCTATATCAGTCTATAAAAAGCTAGTTTTTTCTTTTTTTACATGAATACCAAAAGAGCCAACAGCTGGAAGTAATTTTCTTTTCAATTTGCATTTGTGGAGTCCTTTGACTCTGATACATCCCCTGCCTGAACACCAGATGTGCTCTTTACATGTGTTGTATAGGACTATTGTAATTTGTCATTGTTGGTTAATAAGTTATGGTGGACACATTGCCATTGAAAGTCATGGTGCTCTGGGCAATGAGATGATGATCTTCACTCTCTGACAAGCACAAATGTCTCTTGATATCTGCTGGCACACTAGAGAGGTGTGTTTAGGTCAGCCACTAACCTTTTTCAGCCTCATTAGTTGAATAACATGTGCAACATTTTTGGGGTGTAACAGTACACAAAACAGTACGTCCCTCGGTTTTGACGTCACGGTTCATACAGCAGGAGGAGAGGAAACTAAATATAAAATTGCCTTAAAAGTGGTTTACTGAACAAATTGAGGCACTGTCTTTAAATTGATATAATTAAAAGTTTCTTAAGGATACACTTTTCTCTAACAATATCTGATAATGCTGTAAACTATATAGGGAGCCCTTACTTGCACATTACTATAATATTGAAAGTTAACAACAGAGCCCAAACTATTTGCCTATTCTGTTAATGTTATTTATTTTTTAGATCTAATAATCAACACTCAAAAAAAAAAAAATGAATGCCAAAATAGAAACTGCACATAAGGCAAGTTTTGCATTGTTGAAATATAATCATTACACACTGGCTGTCATTTCAATGAATGACATATATTTTAAACATACATTAAAAATCAAGACATCACTAACAGGTTGAGTAAAATATAATGAATATATAGGTTTATACAGTGAGTTAATTTCTCTTGCTGAGTAACAAGCTGTTTTACTGATGTCTTTCCACCACTGAAACACTGATTGAGCGATTACACGAGATTTAAAACGTTTCAGTAAGTTGTCCCTTAACATACCTTCGTTAATTTGTTTATGAAATCCACAGGAGCGTCAAAATGGCATTCATTGTTTAATTTTCGTGATAAAATGAACATTATTTGAAAAATCGTGCATGCTTATTGCTATTATTGGTAGATAATGGTGGTAGATAATGGTAGATTATGGCGGTTAGGCTACAACACTGTATCGGTCTTCGAAAATTCGCGGCACGAATGGCTACGTGTACCGTTACACCCCTAATACTATTTAATTAAATATTAAGGGAAAAATAGTTTTGTGACCAGGTAAAGTGAGGTCAACCTGGGCTAAGGCTCGGTGTGTTAGCAGGGGGCGGGGTGCGTTCGGTATGCCACGAGAGTATCGCGGTATGTACCGTGGGTGGTGTATTGCAGTTTTTCGGTTTGTTTTGAATATTGTTACACCCTAGCTCTTTTTATGTATTGTGTCATCGCTCCAGACCAGTTACATTTGTGACAGAAATGTAGTTCTTAGGTGTCCAGTAAGAATCTACTATGAATAGTCACATGACCTGAGCTGCTTTAGTTTGATCATTGTGATGCTTTTTTTTTTTTTAAAGATCAATCCAATCGTAAATAAATCACAGGGCACATATAAAGTGCCAATTTTCAGATTTGTGAGTTTTCTACTCTGTAGTTTCCCAGTAATTACAATGTTGACTAATGATGTTTTAAATTATGTTTACTCTTTTTTTCATCATTACACTCAAAAAATTGCTTGGTTGTTTTAACCCAACTTTGGGTCAAATATGGACAAACCCATCCATTGGGTTACATTTTTTAATTACATTTTTAACCCAACGTTTGGGTTTGTCCATATTTGACCCAAAGTTGGGTTAAAACAACCCAGCATTTTTAGAGTGTATTATTATTATTATGTATATGTTGTTTGATTCAGTGGTATATCCAAAAAGTAAAATCCATGTGTTCACTTAGTTTTAGTAACTGTATGATTCAACAGGTTAGATTCCTGTGGACCGAAATGGTGGTGCTGAAACACAGTAAGAGTTTCTCTGGGTTCTATTTAAACTTGAGTAGCCTACTGAATATGTGATTTAATATCTATTTGTATCCATTTGAAATTTATAGATTCAAAGTACATCACAAAAAAAAAAAAAAAATCCAAAATGAATTCCCTGTACAAACCATATTAGCTTCAGTTGCATTGTATGTTATTTATTTAGTGTATAATGCTCAGCGCAATACTTATTGTTACTGACTTAATTTGTTGCATTGGACACTTTTTGTGCAGGTGAAATGGGCCATCATGCTTGTATCATATTCATTGTATTTCTCTGGTAAAGTTCTGGCAACCACCCCTGCCTGTTTCTTTATATATTGATCTCTTACCGGTAAAAATCTGAATATTCGCCTTCATTCTTACCTCGGGTGAATGTCCACTAGCAATAAGAGCGTTTGCATGGTGATCACGTCTATGCGCTTGCAGTGAAAGCGCGCTACTTTGAGCACTTTCAGGTACGTGACGCAGAGCACCACTGATACCAGCAGGAACGTGAGCGTGTGCAGCACCAGCGTGTAAATCGCGAACTGCGTCTTGGAATGGAGCGCCCTGCCGTTACAGAGCGTGCACGAAGCGTACAGCTGATGGTAGCCCACCCAGGAGAGGCACGCGGCAACCACAGAGAAGGACAAGGAGTGCACCCACGTGTAAGCCAGAGCGAGCACAGCGTCCCGGTGTCGGATCCTGGAATGATAACTCAGAGGGAACACCACAGCAACCCACCGATCGATGCTGAGCGCAGCCATACTCAGCATGGAGTTTGTGGTCAGGAAAGTGTCCAGAAACCCGACCACCTGACAGAAAACGTGTCCTCCGGGATGTGCATTACTCAAAACCGCGAAAAGTGTCAGCGGCATGCTGGAGGCGGACAGAAGCAGGTCGCAGAACGTCAGGTTGAGTATAAACAACCCAGGAACCTGCTTGCGAATTTCGGCATTGTACAGAAAGCAGATCAGCACCAGCACGTTGGACAGCAGCGACACTACGATGATCACGACGAGTAGGAAAGAGAGCGCGAGCTCTGCGGTGTGCATGGTGTTCCCCGCTCTTAAAGCCTCCAACTTCGTACCTCAACTCTTGGACAGTTCATTACGGGGAACTAAATTGTGTCAGTACAACTTGTACTGGACGTTGTAACCCTGGACGTGATATCCAGCTGTGCACGGCTGGTCGATGCACGGCTCTCCATGACTCTGACCTCCGTTTATTCCTCGAAGAGTTGGCATAATCCATCCGAGCTGTTGGAACGCGAAATCTGTAGACTGGACTTTTAATCGCGCAATCCCTCGCGAGTCGCAACCCTATGAATGCCTCGCAACCCTTGATGAATGCATCGCGCAATTGCGCAGTTCGGGTTTGCGTGCGCTTCTGATGCAGAATTCGTCCTTGAAGCAGCTTTATATGTCAAAATGTCACCCCCCCCCCCCCCCACACACACACCCCCTCACACGTGACTAGCGTCAAAGAAATCGTCAGGGAATTGATATTGTGAGGGCACTAAATTTAGAAAGGGTTTATATTTGTCGAAGGGAACTCTTTCACGTCACGATGAGGCAAAAGCCCGAGTCTCGGGGTCCAATTTTAGATTCGCTCACAGCCTCGCACACACATCTTTATACTTATGACGCTCATCCTAAAAGAGTAGAGCAGTCTTTTTTTATGTATTTTAGAAACAAGATTTGTTGCCCGTTTAATTTCAATATTTGAAACTTGGTGGTTTGTAGAAATATGTCTCAAACTTTGATAAAACATTGCCTATAGGCTACTATGAATAAATTTAGAAATTCCTAAACTGCATTAATTAGTGTCAAGTACACAAAACATGATGGGCCAGAATGTATTTCGGTAATGAAATACAGATATGCTAAAGATATGAATATCGGCCACATATTAATTGTCCTCCCCATTTAACATGCTTGCTGAGAGACACGCTGGAGATTTTTTTTTATTGTAATCTCTCATATTGATCAAACGTTTGATTGTCCAATAAAAGACAGTAAAAAAAGTGAGAGCAGCTCTTTTCAACAGCAAATGGAAGAGCTAGGGGCAGACACAAAGATGGAGAGTAAGGGAGAGATTTGAGGTCTAGCACGTTGTGACTTCTAATCAAAGCTTTGGTAAAGTATTGATTCAAGCTACCTTGGGGAGAAAATAGGATGTATTTATTGTTCATTGCCAAATCGTTTCCATTTTGTGTGCTCTTTATTGAACAGATAATCATATTTCTGTTGAATTCTATTAATGTTTACAATGTTTTGAGATTGATGTAATATTTTAACCAACACACTATTATAGTACTTGAAGGTTATGTTGAGTTCAAAACGCTTCACACATTGCACATTTACTTTGGCATGTTTTTAAATGTCATCTCCCAATAATGAATCACTGCTTATGCTGTGACTTGGCTATAGCCTACTTTTAAATATGAATATAGAGATAGAGTTAGAGGCGAGAGCCATGCTTGATGCATTTGGCTCTTGCTTGCTTGGCTGCGGGATATCAGAAGGATTTCCTGTCACTTTGTGTAAGTGAATTTGTTCATGTGCACGTGTCTGTGTGAGTGCACGCGTGCATGGTTGCATGTTGACATGTAGGCATGGGCTGTGCTATAGTGCTAGTAGGTGCTTCAGCACCCCCAAGAGAGACCAAAGCACCCCGATAGCACCCCCAAAAATATTAATTTCAAGATGATATCTCGTTATTTCAACATAGAGTTTTCCTGCATTGTTTTTTTTTTTTTTTTTTTGGTGGTGGTGGTTGAAAAAAAAATCAATTGACACGATAGTAAAAGGTCGGAAGACCGCAATTTCACGTGGAGCATTTGGAGATTTTTTTTCTCTCCCAAATTACCGTGGTGTGTGAATTGCGTTAAAAAACACGTTGCAACTTCTCTAAAAAGCATTCCGCACATTCAGCTGACAACCACATTTCACTAAAACGAAAAAAAAAACCTATCTAGTGATTAAATGTTTTCTGTATTGACGCAAATCTTGTGCGATTTCCTAAACTGCTGAGATAATCACACAAGCGTGTAGGCTGGACGTCCAATGATACGTCACACGTCCAAACTAATTTTAACCATTCACTAATGAATTAAAACAACTGACCTGTCCAACACTGAACTCGTGAGATTTAAAAAAAATCGATAACTTAATTAGATTAGTTAACATTTATTATTAATAAACTGCACTTCTACTGCATTGTTAATAATTTCAATATTTAAAGAGTCTACTCTGTAGGCCCACCATATGTGCCATTTAGTTTCATTTTTGTTAAAACATTGTTTTTTTGTTATATTACGCAATATATTGAAGATATGATGGGCCAGACATGATTTTGATCACTAAATTCAGTTTTGTTTTGTAGAAAGCCTTTCTTTAATGTGGATTTCGTTTTGTATAAATTGTATTTTAATTTTAAATCAATTTTTCAACAACCAATTGCCTGGATTTAATAAATAAGAAGCAAATATAGCAGACAAGGATCATGAAATGGAGGCGCGGGCGCAATTGCATAGCACGTGAACTGGAGTACATCTCATCATAAATTTTGCTCATTTAAATAACAGTGTGTGCATGTTTGTGTGTATACCTTATAATTGCGCAGCTCCCCCTTGTCAATGATCTTGCCCCTGTGTTAAAAAAGATCTGGCGCTGCTTTAATGTCTCACTATGAACTCAAACTGGACAATTCTTGTTGTTTTTGGAATATCGCATTATTAAAAATGACTTCCCTTCTCTTCTCTGATTGGGTTTACTGGCACAAAGACAACCTGCCACTCAAATGAGATGACAGCAATAGCAAACCATGACCATCCAATCAATTCCCATTGGACAAAATCAAGTTCTGCCCTACATTGTTTCTTGTTCCTGATGCTGTTTTACTTGGATATATTTCACAATAGGAAAGAAAAGACTATCGCAAGACTTCCGTTTCATGCTTTAACTGTAGGTCTATTCATAATGATTGCACTTTTTGACTGGCACGGACATGACATTTGAAGTTTGAAGTTCCTTTCCAGATATTTTGCTGGGGAATTACTTTCAGTTTGCCGCCTCCTAATTAGAAAGCAACCTTGACATTTACTTTTACCAGAGGCAGAGGATCAGTTTACACAAACACACACCAGCCCAGATTTTTGTGCTAAACGCATTTCTATTTCACCGCAGTGTCTCTATTCTTTCAACACAAACCCCTGTTTGGACTGCAGCAACACACACACACACACACACTCACACTCATACTCATTAGTGGCTCACTGATGCCGCGTAAAGATCGCCGCTGTCCTCTGTTACCACGGAAACACCCACGCTGTCTGTGCAGTGGGTGTGTGGTGGTCCATCCCATGATCCTTTGTGACAGCATGAACGATTCTGACCAATCAGTAGAGCAACTGCACAGATCTTGTTATTCTTCTTGAGGGGGCGATACAGACAGCTTGTCTTGATGTGAAACATAGGCTTTTATCTCCATCTCTTTTTATGCATAGTTCAATAGATTGTTGCTCTTTTTTTATTAGAAATAGTGTTTCAAAGCATTAGCAAAGATTATTTAGTCAGGAACATTCAATCTTTAAATGAAGGCTTTAACGTTTTGTATTCCTTGTATTTTACTTATTTTGTCACATTCGTTATTATAAAAAATAATAATAATAATAATAATAATAAAATATTAGTCCACGGTTAAGAGCCTTAATATCAATAGACTGACCCTTTGAGCTTGTGGGAAGCTCATTGGTTGAAATACATGGGTTAACCTATGTTAATGTTGGACTACTGGTATCGTTCTTGCCACGGGACATCATGTACTTTTGGTCCACTGAATTCGTTTCTACATGGCACAATAGCTTTAGCTTTGCAAAGGGACCCTCATCATTTCCTTCTAGCTGTTTTTTTTTTTCATTGAATATTAATTTGAGTATGAATATGTATATGAACATTAATTTGCTTATGTATTTTTCTCATACTTTCTCATACATTTTTTCTCAACTTGACAATCCATCCATCTAGGCATGCATTAAAAATACTGAGAACTTCAGGTTGACTGAGCCCAAGTAGGATGCCAAAATCATTCATTTTTAATGTACATATGTATTTAATTTTGTGCTCCAGTGGATTATACTGATGGTAATTATGTCTAATTAGATTGTTTCTATAGCCCAGAATACACAGCCTGAGATTTGTGTGTGCTGGGAACCCTGGGAAAATGAGTGATGCACACATGATCTGCATGGCAAAAACCATGAAATCCTACCCTGTGGACAAGATGCATTGCATTCTGGATCCACTGCTGGCTGATTCTGCTAGGTTCATTGTTGTGCTGCTTGATGCATGGTTTGTATTCACAATCTAGTTTGTCAAATGCTGTATTTCAAACATTAATATTCTGATTAATTATTTCAGCTCATTTGGATTGTAATATATTCCAGTCTTATGTAATTTCTGCTTTGAGTCCAGGTTTTCTATTTCTATTAAAAATGAAAAGGCTGTAAATGCTGTGCTACATTGATCTGTGCAATGAGAGTGTTGGTAAAGTTCTCTATTATGACTACCAGGATTTCATTTGAACATATTGTCTAGTTTTAAAGGTCTTTTTATGTCAGGTGCTTTTGTGCGGTTGTGGCTCCATCTGGTGGTTCAACTGGTTAAATGTTAGTCTGCAATCAGTTCTGTTGCTTTGATTAAGATTCAGAGGGCAACATTTATTTATTTATTGTCAGTTTCTATTTGTTTGAGGGCGGTTGTTTATTTATTATGTATACACTGCATATTCTGTGATTGTCTCTGAGGCATTTCATCTTTATTTTTATATTGCTCATTTCTTTTCTGTGTTGGCCGAACTGATTTGTCAGTTACGGCTAGAGCCCCGACTGATCAAAGCCTTGTCCTGATCTCACAATCATAATGTTTTCCTGATGAAAATGTTTTTTTGAACTTAGCTATGCGATTAGACTTAATCGGGTCCTTTATTTATTTTTTTATGGGGCCTATGTAAACACAGGAATGGGGCCCTCCTCTATTCAGCATATTTACCTGGGATTTCCCACAACTTCTTCCCAATATCATAGCTTGCACTATGGTATTCTCTACTGCTATTTTAGTTTGAAATAGTTGGGTAAATTGGCTTCTACTCCTAAGCTACTGCCCTACTTACCAATGGTATCGGCTTTCGTTTAAATAATTGCTAACTTTTTAAGACGTTTAAATGTGAGCTCATTGTTTTCACCACTAGAGGGAGGGCTTGACCTTCATTGAGACCATCCTTGTCCCACAACAAGTCTGTCATCACTTCTCAACAAACCTAATAAACACATCATCAGCATCCCATAATGTCCATGTGCCGTGTCTGGGCACAGACCCAGGGGGCAGAGTATAAGTGCTGTTTGGTCTGTCCTCA